TTCACATGAACCCTGGCTGTAGGCGTGACCACCTGTGTATTTTTCCTGGATGACGCAATCAGATTAAGTGTTACAGCCAATCACCGAAACTTGGTACCGAAAGATGAGGCATGTTTCGATACTCTGTAGAACCAAAGCATTTCGGTCGGTACCATAAAAGAACCGAAGTTCGGTACCCAGCCCTACGCATATGGAGGCCTTAGTCCTTGACGCATCCAGGGTTTGAATCCGACCTGTGGTCCTTTCCTGTATGTCTCCCCCCCCGTCAACCTACTGTCGAAAAAATGAGCCACTATTGCTGTAAAAACTAAAAAAAGGTCAAAACAAATATAGATGTGAAAAGACAAATGCTTAAAGATGCTAATAGACAAAAAAAAAGCCTTTTATGTAGAGGGAATGGGTTAACAACCTGGGGATAGAGATCGCTGCTAACCATGCTAATCGCTAAAAAGAAAATGCATGTCACTGCTTTGCCTCCTAATAGATACCTGGTAACAGCTAGGGTTCATTTTAGAATAATATGATATAATGTGCATTCTCATCTGTGGGGTGAAAATTCAAAAAACTATTTTTCCCTTTTTTCAAATACTAAAGGAGATATAATTTAATTCTTTTACTTGGATATTCATTGCACAGATATCCCTGGCCCATTTATTGCATTTTCTCCCTGCCAGCCTATTTACAGCCCCCCCCCCAACCCCACACACATATCCAGGCAAGTCCATTATTTGCTGTGGGCAAAGGAAGAACGAGCTCCATAATGAACATCATTTGTGTTCTAATAGAATCTCTGATGCCTTCGCTGGTAATGTTAGCTGTACATTACATTGTGGGTTATTGAGGTAGACAGCGAGGGAGTCTCTGAGGCCGTGTTTTAACACACACTACATCTGTTCGTACAGTTAGAACATTGCAATCATGTTGAATTTGAATTCCCGCTTATCTCATACAAATCCGATAGGATGCAGATATGGCTTAGAAGAAGAGAAAACCCCTCTACTGAAATGAAAAAGTCACCTTAGTGGATGCTTTATTATAACCAGTAGAAGTCCTGTTACACAGGGTATGCTTTTAAAAGACAGAAATAAAAATGTGCATTTTAGCTTTCAATTCAGACTGTCGTGGTTTTGGGCAACAGGATCTGAGGTTTTATCCATGGGCGTAGGTTTGCATAGGGACCATAGGGACAAGTCCCTACCGACAATTAGATGTGAATACCATGTTTATAATTTACAATACAGCATTGTTGCAGCAGTAGAGGAGTTCTGGAATGGGGAATATTGACAGACGAAAACATGTTTTATCTAAAATGGAAAATGTTTATTTATTTTTTACAATTTTGGTATGATTCTTGCTCTAAGTTGGTCGCTCTGTGAGCTAAAGACATCTTTTAGAGTCTCGATTCTCCATAATGATCAATCGATTATTAAATTTGTTGACATTATTTCTATAATTGATTAATCCAATGAATTGTTTCAGCCATGAAAAAAATACATGAAATGGGTTAAACAGAGTAACTACAGCCTAGATGTAGAGCTTGTAGAGTGAAGTTAATATATTAAATGCTCAGTGTCAGTTCCTCTTCTATTTCCAGTGCTCATGTTGGCGTCCCTTGAATCTATTATTTTGTTTTGTTTTAATGATACAAAGATTACATTTAAAAGATAAGAGTAGGTTTTACCTCTGCACAATTCTATATCTTTAAAAATATCCACATATAACAGACATATTTAGACTATATTCTGTTAAATAGGCATAGATTTACCTACTGTCTTAGGGTAATTTCAAATGCAAACCTTTTCAAAGTGGAGAAAAGTCCTATTTCCTCATTCATCAGAGCCAGTAAAGCTTCAGTCATTGATAAACAGCATCTAGTGTGTGCAGTGCTTATAAAATTTGTATAAATGTAGCAAGAAATGCTGCTTTTCTCTTTAAATGAAAAAAACACCCTGATTTTCATGTCGAGCATAATAAAACGAGCATGCATATTTTTGCATAGGACCAATGACATCAGACCAACAGTGTCCCTACCAAAGTTGAAATCAAACCTACGTCCTTGGTTTTATCCACGTTCTGTGTATAAAAGACCTTGTTCTTATTGCGGTTTCTCTTTAGAGATCTGCAGTTCTGAATGCAGGGGCCTTTATGGAAAGACATTAACCAACATAACCCTGCTAAGACAAGGTGTAGCTATAGAATAGATAATGAAGACTAAAGTTTCATAAAAAGACAGATTAAAATAAGTTTTCACCTAATGTTAACTTCTGATTGGATCTATTTTCTAATTCTGTTAAATGCACAGTTACATAAAAACTGCCATGTTATAAAAGCCTGGCATTTCCATGTTTTACACAAATTATGAGACCTCAGTTTCACCTTTAAACAATTAAAAACACAAAATTTCTGAATAATATTTACTGGTCTCTGTTATAATTTATCAGTTCCTCCTTTTGTATTTACGTTTTAACCCGGTGAAGCTGAAACTATGTCCTCATGAAGAGTTATGAATAGAGCAACTTTACAGATAAAGATGTTCTTCATCTCAAATGTACATTTTCTACACAGTTGTCTAAGTGGGCTGTTCTTTTGGGTAGTAGGTAAGATTTAGAGCCTGTATACTCCAGCTAACAATTACCTAATTACTAAAATAATCGACTAATAAAATTTCTTCAACCCCAGTCTTCATGATAAAAATAAATAATCAACAATTAACAATAGAAACGCCTTCAGAGGATGACATTTAATTGGTTCTGTTTAGGGCTGGGTTAAAAAATCGATTTGAATCGATTTCCCTTTCAATAGCCTGATATCGATTCATAAAAACCATAAATCGATCCATTATAATACGTCTTTCCATACATTCATGACTTCTCGCGTCCCGCGAGATCTCGTCACTGCGCGAGAGGAGCGCACCAAAACAATATGGCGGAAGCTCTGAAATCACCGCCAAGAAGTTTACAGGCAGATGTCTGGAAATATTTTGGA